TTCAAGTACTTAGGGACTGACATAAACAAAAACAATGACATCAAGATGATGATAGGGACTTGCTTGCTACAGGGAAACAAAATCTACTTTGGGCTCACAAACATACTTTTAGTATGTTTGTGAGCCCAAAGTAGACTCCTTAGTAAAACGATGAAGCTAACTGTATATGAGTCACCAATTAGACCTGCGATTCTGTATGGAAATGAAACATGGCCAATGACAAAGCAGGAGGAACTACAACTACAAAGATTTGAAAACAAAATACTAAGAAAAATCTTCGGACCTGTGGAAGACTATGATGATAATGGTATCATGGTCAATGGAGAACCAATATGGAGGAGAAGAACATACCAGAAACTGCAGACAACCTATGACAAGTCCATGATCATACAGGTGATTAAGGTCAGAAGATTACAGTAGCTAGGCCATGTTTTAAGGCTTCCTATAATGGCAACAGCTTCACGAGGGCTTCATTATGAGGGGAAAGGAAAGATGCCATCCCAGAAAACAGCGGATAGATGGGGTCACTGAAAATCTTCCAGACCTCAGAATCAAAGATTAGCAGAGGCAGGCTATAGACCAAATGAGATGGAGGATTGTGACCGCGGCTAAGGGCCTCCAAGGCCCATAATGCCAGACAAAGAAGAAAAAAAGAATTCAGTAAAAGAATAGATTTAAAAGACATAATTGCATCAAAGAATATTTTATTCCAAAATAAAATCTATTTAAATTTTGTTCTGTAACCTGATGAAAGGATCAACAAGGCTGAAAATTTTGTTTTGATTAAATTTACTGCTGTAAAAATGTGTAAGGCGTGTCCAGTGTATTCTTACTACATTTGAATTTAAATCAAAACTATTGAATATTTGAACTCTACATGCCTGAAGATAACAGAATTACAGTAATTACTGTTAAAAGTTCTTGCATGTTTTTATGGTTTTCTAAGTTTTAGTATTAATATATTTTAAAAAAACAACAAAGTCAGAATTTCCTTTACTTATCCTTTTTTGGTATATATTTACTTATCCCTTTTTGGTATATTGAATTTACCTTACAATAATACCCTACCAATAATCTGACATTGTTCTGGTCCCATACATTCTGGATTACAAAGATTATTTAAATATAAATTTCACTATTACAAAGTTTATGTATTTTTTACTTTGAATTCAAAGTTTCATCAATAGATTATAAATTGAAATGAAAGACTAGTGCTTGTTTTTAATAAATTAGATAGATAGTGTTTTAGTTATTTCTTATCATTCCTATAAATTTTCATGATCTTAACTTTTTTTATTATTGTATTACAATTTAAATATAGTCGACCCCCCATAACATGGTAGATACGTTCCGTTCTTTATGAATCGCTTTCTTATGAGTCCTTGCCAATCACAGCCAGACACATGTGAAGTTTACAGACTACAGCTGTTTGAAAGGTTTTCTTCCATAAAATTAATCAATTCTAGACTAATTCGACTCAACATTTCCAAAATATGTATATTTTTTTGGGAATAATCCATATAAACTACGCTATAAAAAAAAATTGTAGGATTACTTAGCGAGTGTGCACCGTTCGAAGTCGCCACTGCTCAAGCTTGTTTTCGTCGCGGAGCAACGCACCAAACCGCGGCCGCGATTTCTGATAAGTTCTTTTTCTGCGAAAACTTCGTTGAACTTTGGAGACATCATTAATATAAATAATTTTTATGGCCATTGAATAAGAAATGTTTCTTTCACAAGAAATGTATAAAAGTACAGTACTATATTACACTTACGGTACCTAATTTACATACTGTACAGATGATAGTAAACAACTTACTCGCCTAAACTCTCCATAGCATGGCGCTGGACGGTGGAAAGTATATATATAATTATATATACAGTACCTAATTTATATATAATTTATATATAATACTGTATAGATGATAGTAAACTCAATTTACCCGCCTAAATTCTCTGTAGTGTGGCGCTGGATGGCGGAAAGTAGTTCGGCTGCCCGATGACATTTTACCAAATTATAGGAGTTTTTTACCAGGTTTGTACGGATACCGTCGCAATTTTTTCACCGTCTTATAGGAATCGTAATTATAGGAACCCGTGTTATACTACTGGGGGTCTACTGTAAATACTTTATTTAAAGTAAAAACACAGTAGTACCTTGTACTTCAAAACACTTCAGCGTTGGAATGCCAAATTTGACAAAAATTATCTGTGTAGTTTAAGCAATGCTCTACAGTTTGAATTGTGTACAAAAAGAAAAATGCACTCAAAGCATAAAATAAAGCTTCTGAACAAAGAATACAATCTTAAATTAGAAATAATGTGTTAAAATTCATAACTGTTACAATTAAATCACACATCTACATTAAGTAACAACAACAACTGTTAAAAAAATACAAACCTTCTATTCAACTCAATGTAACCTTTTCTTATTAATCAAGATATCTGAAAAGTGTGTGGAAGCAATGAAGTTTAACTAGTAAGAAGGAGGTTTGGAAAAGGCTAATGAGGGTACAGCATGAGATTGAATTCACCAGTTTTGATCAAACTTAGTGAGGTATGCCAAGCAGTAAGGTGCAATACTCAAAATAAATGAAAAAATTGATGTTAAAAATTGCAAATCACTTAAAACCTTTAGAATTTCTGTCATTTGTAAAGTGGCTGGTGGCTTAGTGGGCATTCTGGTTTCATAACCATTGTGATATCAATGTTATTTCCCCCAAAACTATAATTTTTACTTTATTCTTAGTATTTTTAAATTTGTTATATTTATTTAAGAATTATTATCAATATTAATGTACAAATGGGATTTGTACTAAAATTTATTTATAATTTATTTGAAAAGAGGATTAGATATAAACAAAATTATTATTCAAGTCCAATTTTGTAGAGTAAAATGTCATTTTTATTAACATTATTCAATCTTTCTGCTTTCCATGAGCAAAATTTTGTGGATAATTGTCATAGAAGCATGTGAAACTAAACATGTCTGCAGTGTGCACATTAAATAAATACAATTTTTTACAATAAGGTAATTTATATATGTCATTGGAAAAACAAACTTGATTAATGTTTAAAAACACATCATCATCAACTAATTTGGAGAAGAATCATTTGTACTGTTCAGATTTGAAAATATCAGAGTGCTTAATTTTTTTTCTACTGCCTTTGCAATTTCTGAAATTGATGAAGAACTCTTGGCCACAATTAAATCTTGATTTTGAAGGATGTTTTCACAATATGTAAATTTTGTAATATTGTCATGCAATGATTCTTCTACAGAACACATTTCTATGCTGTTATGTTAGCATGAGATATCAAAGCCACCTTTTCATTCTTTAGCGAACGAAGATGCAATTATACACACATTTAGGTTAAACAATGACTTTGTTGCCAGAGTATGTATGAACTGTACATGAGTATACAGAAAATGTTTTGTTTTTAAATAAATATTTAATTGCAGTTAATTGCAATGTCAAAAGCAGTTGTTAATTGCTTTTGACATTGACTTGATAAATCCATCTGGTTTCAAGTTTTTCTCTCTGACATTATAATAAATTTAAAAGTACCAAAAAATAAAGTGAAAACTATAGTTTTAGTTAAAAAAAAAAAACAACAACAACAACATTGATACCACCAAGATTCAAAACACCAACATCACAGTTATGAAACCAGCATGCCCTCACTGAGCCACTGGCCAATCTACAAATGACAGGAATTCTAAAAGTTTTAAGTGCTTTGCAATTTTCAATATCAATTTTCTCATTTAATTTTGAGCATTGCACCTTACTGCTTGAATATGTCAGTCATTGAGGATGCACCATAACTTCACAGAGTTTGATCAAAATTGGTGATCCCAACATCATGCTGTCCCCTCATAAGATGAAAAAGGAACTTATCATAAAGCACAAAAGTGGTAAACTTGTAGCTGATCAGATAATCACATTTAAGATGCCGAAGTTGATGGGGTGCGACCAGTAAATGTAATTTTCATTTTATTATTCAGGCATTTAATTGTGTTATTTTTACCTTAAATTACAGTAGAGCCTCAATTATCTGACTCAATTGGGGACTGGGGTTGGTCGGATAATTGAAAAGTCGGATAACCGAAAAGTATGAAAAAATCCATTATTAGTGTAGTATATTATTATATCCCATGTAATTAGTATATCGCTATTAACAAACTTTTAGAATTTTAGAATTTACCGTTTGGCAAGTTTAAATTCTTTACGTCGATCCTGAAGAAGGTCTGTTAATTTGACCGAAAACGTTCGATAACTGTTTAAAATAGACTGCATTTTAAAGGTATGGTGGAGTTTATTAATTAATAATGCAGTTAGAGATATAATGATTGCTATTAACCTACTTTGCATTGAATTTTCATCGATGTTAAGCCTAACAAAAATTTTTTAAAATAATAATCGTAAAATAAATAATAAGCTATTGTATCGTTAAAAATTAGAAAATTAAACCTCGTTTAAATACCGGCTCCCTTTCATGGTCGAATGAGTATTGCCAGCTAAAACACGTAAAAATGATATTAAAGTAGCCAAGATATAGCCAAATATTGTAGCGCCACACCACTAGCGGACATTTGAAATTTGCCGACTAGGATGGTCGGTTAATCAGGGGTCGGATAATCGAGGCTCTACTGTATGTGTATTTGCTGTTTTAAGTTTATCAATATGGGTATTGTTTAGGGTTGGAAATATATTAATCCATTTTCCATTATTTCGAAACGGGAAAAATTGCCTTGGACTTTGATTTAGTTTGAATGGCCTCCTGGAATGAATTAAATTTGAAGTGTGAGGTTCAGTGTATGTATATTATGAACATATAATTAATACATTATCTGAAAATGTCCTGTCCCAATTATTTCAGATTAAATAAAGAGTCTATTGAATCTTTCTTTAATTTCAAGATATAAAAATTTTACTCAAAATTTAAAATGTAAAGAAATAAGAAGAAAAATAGTAATGGATGAATCTGTATAGACTTACTGATTTTCTTGTGCTTTCTTCCTGTAATGAGAAAAAAATAATACTATTAAGTATTGTATATTAAGGAATAAGTTTTCCTTAAAATTAAGGAGGTTAAATATAAATCATATTTCTTTGCTTCTAGAATGTGATCATGCAATGCTATTCATACATCATGATTTTAAAATCATGATGTATTGATTTTAAACATAAGCAATCAATCATGACATAAGCATAATCATGATTAAACATAAACATAAACATAAACATAAGCAATCAATCATGATTACATCATGATTTTAAAATCATGATGTATTCTAGAATACAAATGATTTTGAAATGGCATTTTAAGATTTTTTTTTATGGAGGAAAAATTTTTTAAAATTATTATTATTTTGTTAAGTAACAAGTTACAATAACCATACAAATGCCATGAAATACAGTAGAAATTCATTAATCTGGCAATGACAATCTGAAATGTCTGGTAATCCAGCACCCCCTGAAAAGTAATCAATAATCTGGCATGAAAGTATTTCACATAATAAAATTTGTTTGAACATCTGGTGCACTGAAGACTTCAGGCGAAAATTGAGGCAAAGGTGAGGTACAGCTGTGCACATTGCTTTCAATCTCACAATCAATACCTTCAGCATGTAGCAATGTGATGGTGTTGTTGTAAAAAATATTTTTACACACCACCTTGATTGCTTATGTTTTGCTTGATCACATTGCTTTCAATTTCACATTGTAAAAATTATCTTTTACAATACCTTGTCTGTATTACATGCTTTAGTGTGTAAACAAAATCAGAAACATACAATAGTATGCAATAGTATAAAATGTACAATAATGCCTGTAACATTTAAATCACATGTAACTTTTATATCAATATTTTGTAAAAATACAAAAATGTTAAATATTTTGGTGTCATTCTGATTGTGTAAATACTGGATTAACAGATTTCTACTATAAATAAAGTTTGGCAGTTTTATTTAAATGCAATTAGATTAATCAGTTCTTAATTCACAATTTTAATAATAATATGTAAATAAATAAATAAGATCTAACTAGAGAATAAGAAACAGTAATAAAACAGATCACCTTGTAACCAGCAGTATTTTTAATAAAATCCTAATGTTTTTGACCTAATACAATAGGTCTTCCTCAGTGAATTACACTATTTAAAATTAAGAAGATGTTCTAAAGAGAACACTATCATAGAGAGGGGGAAAAAAATTAAAATTAACCATTACAAATAAAAATAATAATGAATATAAACAAAAATAATTAGAGGACTAAATATAAACATCTTACTAAATCTGATACATTGAAATAACACTTCTTGGACTGCTGTATATTAAAATCGGGCTATAATTTGGCAATAATAATAATAATTATAAATTACAAATAAATTTGATACTAGAGGGAGACATTAGGTGCCATCTTGTATTAAATTTAATAATTACAATTTAATTAAATCATTTTAGATTAAACTGGAAGTAACCAATGATGGTTATATCATAATATTAAATATACTGGAAGGGGAGATTGAATTGGAGGTCCAAGTAGTGTAACCGGCAACACATCCACACAGTAAGTGGCAGTTGTGAGTTCAAGTCCCACTCCGGGCCGATTCTTTTCTTCCAGTTTAATCTAAAATTATTTAATTAAATTATAATTACTAAATTTAATACAAGATGATGCCTAATGCCTCCCTCTAGAGTGAAATTTATTTGTAATTTATAACTATTGCCAAATTATAATCTGATGATATACAGCAGTCCACGAAGTGTTCTTTCATCAGTACATTGTAGACTAATGATAGACCAATACTTGTTTTTGATAAAATGATAAATAATGAAAAAAAAATCTAACATTCTTATGTATTAAATGTTTATGCCTTAACTTTTTTTTGGCATTCGCTATGTCTAGCATGGGGAGTAAAGATCAGTTTAAACTTCTTCATTTTTGTGTTTGGAGTTAATATTATGATGTATTTTATTAAAATAATAATTATTTAAGCATTTATGAATAATATTGTAAAGAAACAGATGATTTTAATCCAGAAATTATTTAATTACTCAATTTTTTGCAAGTGATATGAAGTGCCTATAGAATTTACATATATTTCTGTTCATAATAGCTTATCATAATTCTGTAGGAGTAGGTTTGTTCTTTCACAGCATCTTCTACCATCAACAGTATAATACATTTGTAAATTTTCTAAAAATAATTTCCTGGGCTGCTTTCAAATTTACATAAGCCACTACTTCCCTCAACAAAAGTATGAGGTAGTCCTATCATACAGTAGGAGACATGATACTAATTAAAAATAATTACAGTGGAACCCCGGTTAACGAACGTCCTGGTTAATGACCAAATCGGTTAACAAACTTTTATTTTGCAAAAATTTTGTCTCGGATAACGAACGTAACGGTATTTTGTGTCAAATTTTAGTCGGTGTTAGGCACGCGCAAGTTAAGCATTGCTTTTCAGAGTGTTTGTGCTATACTTCTGTTTTCAGTTTTGTGATTTATATATTTAATCAATATGGCATCAAAAAAGTCATAGTGGCAATAGAAAACAACAATGCGCTCTATCGCATTTGAGAAAAATTTTGATTAAAAGAATAAGACAATCAACTTTAGATCAATTTCCTGTTCCTTACGGAAAGAGTTTGTTTCTTTGTTAAGTTATGGCAACGCAACACTTCGGCGATCTGACTAGGGGGAATGCCTTCTGGGAGGCGTTTTTAAGGGAAACTGGCCCCTATTTAGGCGTTACAGACGTGGAGAAATCCCGGAATACTCCACGTGGCCAGCCCATCTGAGTGAGGTGCGAATCCACGAACGAACTCCCCATATTCAAGGTACGAAGACCACTTAGCCACTGGTGGGTTTTTTACCGAAAGAGACTTCGACTCGAAGAATCTTCCAATGAAGTGCTACCCATTACTTTTTTGGAGGGATTCCCCTTCTAAGCATTAAGGTTCGTATATCTCCACTTTTCTGCCACCAACTATAACAAACAAAGGTATTATTAAACAAAGTTTACATGTTTGTTGCTGTAATGATAGATACTACGTTTTCCTACATTTTCATCAAAGAAAATTACTGTATATTTCAAATAAAATGACAAAAATTTCGGAGACTAGAACAGATTAATTGCATTTGCATTAATTTCTATGGAAAAAATTGCTTCGGTTAACGAATGGAGTCGTGGAACGGATTAAGTTCGTTAACCGGGGTTCCACTGTATTGAGTGTTATTAAACATCCTATAAATACTTTAAAATAGTTTTACTTTATTTACCAGTGAAGGTAAATAAACAAACAACGTAATCATCATATATAACATCATCTGAAGCATGTAAGCATCATCCATTTGTCATCGTAAAATGTTTCTGTCATTTTTCAATAATATCCCATGAGTCAGTGTGTGATGTGACTGTGTGGTGCAACGTGTCTTACTTCGAGTTCAAACATCAAACGTGTACTTCTGCTTGCTGTACTAGTTTAACGTTTGAACTTTGGCTGCAACCTCTCTAATAACAGTATTGTATTCTGTTATTTCTTTATTTGAAAAATTCTAACATAAAAGATTATTAAAAATTTAAACTGAAATAGTGTTGCTCTTATTAAAAGATATCTGTATACTTTCTTGACAAACAATGATTGCAAACATCTCTAAATACAAACAAGTAGAAGTGAAGATAAACAAAATCAAAATTACAAACATTATTTGTTGCAATTTTGTGCTGAGATTAATGACATTTTAGTTATACAACTCTCTTTTGTGTTTGCACAAATTACTTGCACATTTCTTATCATAGTTGCAATTTATAAAACAAGACATGAAATTTCTCAATGTTAGCACACCTAGATTTTCTTTTTTAGGCAAAGTTTTAAAGCAAAAATGAACTAATCCTTTTGTGACATACCTAAATTTGCCTATTTCTTTTAGTCAAAGTCCAAAAAAGCATCTTCCTTCTATACTCTGCCTGAACTAATGTGGTGATTGGCAGGTTGTCTAGACAAACTTAGATTTGCCAACACGACAAACATGCTGGTTATATACATCTATTTAATTCCAATTTAGTTTTTTTTTTTCTTTTTTAAGAATAAATTAATATATTTGTGAAAAAATATTTTCTATAATTTTAAACTATATCATTTTAACCAATTTTGAATTTGTTTGATTTAAATTATAATTTTTAACTAACGCGTAAAATTTTGCTACAAATTAGTTAACCCAAGGAATATTTTGATGTTTGTAGAAAAATACTTCCTTTTTTTTTTTATTTCATATAACATTGTTTTATTCTATACTCTATTATTATTATTATTATTATTATTTTTTTTTTAATACAGTAGAAGCTCCATATTTACACACAAACTATTTGTGCCAAAAAATTACTTTACAACTCACTTTTTGTACATTTAAAAATCACTTTTAAATGTACAAAACACACAAACTATTTGTGTATTTTGCACATTTATAAATCAATATTTGCAAGCATTTCTCATATCTGTTCAATTAAAATTCATTTATTTGCAAAGAATTAATAAAAATAAATAGACAAATGATTTTTAGCACATCTTAATGTACTTTACTACAATTTATGTTGTGTGTTGACTGTTAGACTATGCTAATAGATATTATTTATCTACCGATTTATTTAATTATTACAGCAATGCACTTATGAGTGTTAAGGACAGTAAATGTATACATTTACTGTCCTTATTAGTATACATTATGAATGTCAGCATTATTTTTTTTTATAAACAAATTTTACTAATTCACCCAAAACTGAAGGAACAAATTTTACTTAGTTTTTCTTTTATCCTTATAAAGCAATGACTTTATTTAGAGGAAAAAATATTCAAAATACCAAAAGAAAATAATGTCCATTGTATGTGCTGTAAGCTAGAACTTCTAGATAATAATAATAAAAATACCTTTCTCACTTTTTCTAGCAAGTTTTAATAAAATGAACTAATGTTTTCAGCTATTTTAAATAGCCTTCCTTAGGTTTAATGTAATTTCAAATGTCAATTAAAACAAAAGATTTAAAATTTTGACACTAATATGTACAACCCATTAAGACAACATTGATATATACAGTCTACAATGATGAAGGCATCCAGATTATTGATATTCTTGAAATTTTTAAAGCTGAAAGGAGGGGACATGCATTAATTATAAAGAAAAAAAAAACAAATTTCAAATACTTGGCAAGCAATATACGATCTAGCACTATCTACAGAATTACGTCATGATGCACCTTCATGTGTCTGTTGAACCAAAGAGTTTTAATTTAAATTCAAACATCAGTTTTGACTTACATTTCATTCAAAGGAAAGCAGAATACCTGAAGTAGCACTCAGAAGGAGCCTGAAAACATTTCTTTGCAATTACCCATGAATTTTGTTGCTGGGCACCCAGAGGTTTTTGAGATGTGTTATACTGTAGACATTTATAACTAATATTGGTGATCTTTGTGTATTCCTATCTAGGTATTATCAGTTTTAACAAAGTAATAGTCATATAATTCAGCAGAATTTGCTGAAATGGTCCCTTAATCCCCAGCAGCTTTACCCAAGATCCATGTATAGTATTTTTTTTTTGTTTTTTTTTTTTAACTTTTTCCATCCTGTGGGCACTAAGAGGCCTCTTTTAGCAAGCCCATTATGGGTTCGGTCAGGACCACAATAGCTGGACAAGACCCAACATATCTGGACGAACCATCTCCTGAAAAATTCCTGGAGATTTTTCGACCCTTCCAGATTCTATCCTGGGTCCCCAGAGCAGTAGGCTGCCACCTTGACTACTCACCATCCAGCTTGTAGATACATGTATAGTAGACTTTGTTAATCTTAGAATACTTGACAAACTTTAAAGTCCAGCAAAGTCAAGAAAAAGATACAAATAAACTTTCACTCATTTTCATGCTTGCCTGGAAAAGTCAGGACTTTTCGCTTGGGCTCTTCCAGTGTGCCCAGTCATGACATCAGAAGAGCACACATCATTTTTAGATGCAAGCATGAGTAATTTTTATACAGGTTTTAGTATGACCACACGTGTAATTGGTCATGCATAAAAAAAACTTTTTGATGGACCTTACTGGGCAAACTGAAAAACATCTATCTGCATATACTTTCTATACTTATCAGTTTCATTGATATGAATGCACTAATAAGAGCATTCATATCAATGACACTGAGAAGTACAGATTTCTCTATACTGAATTAAATTTAAAGGTGTATTCAGTCAAAATGGAGTGAGAGCAACAGACAGATTCTATGGTATTTGAGGATTCCCTGACTTTCTCTGCTAAAAATCTTATTCTCAAACTTTCCAGATCTTTATGGACTGTATGTATTAATATAATAAATAACATTATAATAATTCTAGATCTGATATTACACTTATTTTACTTTGAAAATTTTTTTAGCAATTATACTAACAGAACAAACTCAAAACTGAAACATAAGATTATTTTGTCTATCTGTTTACATATGCAAACAGACAGACATAGCTTTGTCAAATCAGCTGATTTAGGCAAACCTACACGATAGCACAAAAATTTCTAAGCATGAATTAAGAAAAAAAAAAGAGAAAGATAAATTTCATACTAGTTGGTCTCACAGACAATATGTTAGTATTGGAGAGTTAAAGAATGCATGTCACATTACTAATAATTGTTAGAGACTTTCAAAGAAAGACAAAACAAATGAAAATCAAGAATGTTTCAAGAATAAATAAGGAAATCTAAGCTGTAATAATTATCATCATCTTTGTCTGAAATAAAATGAAAAATATTTTTGAAAAGAAATTTTTTTCCATTCATATATTTTTTCCAATCCTTTCACTTTATTATTTTAATGTATTCCTCCCTTTTGTATTTACAGTTTTCATATTTGTGGTAGTTTTCAGAACACGAATCCTGCAAATATGAGGCTTCTATTGTATATCATTTTTTAATATAATAAATAAGGAAATTACCCAGTCACTTTCTGAACTGGATTCAGCTTTTTTTCTCTGAAAGAAAATTAAAGCATAATGTTAATTAGAAATAAAAATATAAATAAATAACAACACATCAACCACTGCCATAAATCATTGGGCTATAATTTGGAATAAATTTATTCCAAATTATAGACCAATGATTTATGACAGTGGTTGGTGTGTTGTTGCATTGCATAAGGTTAATAGGGTTGTTTATTTATAAATAAATAAATATTAAAATTTATATTTATAGAATTCTAGGAAGAATTTTATTGTCTAATATATAAATGGAAGTATGACAATCTTATCAATAATAATATTTATGATAACAGTTAAATAATCAAATTAAAACTATTCAATATTCTTTTTTCTTACATTAATTTGGTTTATTATAATTGCTATATTTTGATCATTAAATTATTTTTATATTATTTGAATTAAATCCAAATTAGATATTTAAGTTTAAAATGTTTATCAAATATATAGCTTAATAATTTTATTTAATATAAAGTAAATTTTTGATAAGATTGGTTTACTGTCTTTAACAATTGAAACAGTTTACATTTTTCAAGACAAATATACCGTTCCAAACATCCTGAGTATAAGCTGATTTTGTTACGTACTGAAAATTTATTCTTAAGTAATCAACTTTTAAATTTATGTTTGAAAAAAAGACATGTTTTGTATTTTTATTCCCAGATGAATCCATATAGAATAACTGGCTTTTCAGAAAGTTTTGAGATTAATTTCTATATTATATTAATAAAATTACTGTGTTGGATATTAAATATCTAAGTTAATAAAAAAATATGTAGTATTTATCTTAAGAATTTTTGGAAGAAAAATTCAAAATGATTAACAAAACTATGTTCTGTTATCTATAATATCCTTAAGTTCTGGCTCCATGTTATATTGTAATATCTCAAACACTATTATAATAAAGAGGTCAATTTGACCTATCAAAATAGCATTTGGAATGTTTTGATATTTTTAACTTCGAAAGGATGATAAGAGAATGTTAGATGTTAAAGTATTAATTCCATTCTTTCTTGTCTTAATATCAATAATTTGTCACTCTCAAACTGTATATTTGAAAATTATTTGAAATGAATAAATATGCAGAATGGCAGGGTTTATTATTTGCAATTTACCCTTTACCCACTTCATTTTTGATTGATACTCTAACTCATGTGCTTTTGACTGATGTAAATTATGCCATGATTATGCATTTGCTTCTCCATTACTTGTTGTGTAAGATCATTATATCAGATACCAGACAATTCTCTATTTGAGCATTAAGTGAACTGGCCATTGCAACATCCATCATATCCTTTTTAATCAAACAAAAAGAAAGTAATGATCTAACTATGGTTGATTTAGTTGGCTATACTTGGATAAGGTTGATATCCTTGCTTCAGCAAAAGCATCACATCTAACTTTTCAAACATTAAACTTTTTATCTAATATGCTAAAATTAAAAACAGCATTTGAACATGGTAATAGTTTCTTGCTAATGTAATCTTTAGACCAGTGGTTCTTAACCAGTGTTCCACAAACCTACCTCAAGTGTTCCACGAAAGAAAAGATTGAAAATTTTATTGAAATTTATTCCCATTGCTATATTTGTAGATAATTCCATGTTTCTATTTTATTCAATATATTAAAGTTTATTACTTCATATTGCTGAGAATAGTAAATATGGAATTACTTATCAATTTTTGAATGTATTGATGCTTATGCTCAGTGTAATAAAAAGTATCCAAATGGTGTTCTGCTGCCTTTCTGAGGCAGCATAACACCACTCAGAAAAGTTGAGAACCACTGCTTTAGACATTTGCACCAAACAACTGCTGAATTATATCAGGCTATATTACTACTGCTATTATTAATTCAGAAATCCTTTGGCTTTAATATATAACTATCGAGTTTGAATGATTATTTTGTTCAGACATTTGTATATTTAATTTTTATTGTGTTATTTTCGCGTATTTTAGTCTTGTTATTTGTAACCATAAACATGTTTTCTTCTTCATGAATGCCAAAATAAACATTTATATCATTCTTGTTAAATTCAAACAAGTAGGTTTATATGGGGGAAACCAGGAAATCAGATATGTCCCTATGGTNAACAACACATCAACCACTGCCATAAATCATTGGGCTATAATTTGGAATAAATTTATTCCAAATTATAGACCAATGATTTATGACAGTGGTTGGTGTGTTGTTGCATTGCATAAGGTTAATAGGGTTGTTTATTTATAAATAAATAAATATTAAAATTTATATTTATAGAATTCTAGGAAGAATTTTATTGTCTAATATATAAATGGAAGTATGACAATCTTATCAATAATAATATTTATGATAACAGTTAAATAATCAAATTAAAACTATTCAATATTCTTTTTTCTTACATTAATTTGGTTTATTATAATTGCTATATTTTGATCATTAAATTATTTTTATATTATTTGAATTAAATCCAAATTAGATATTTAAGTTTAAAATGTTTATCAAATATATAGCTTAATAATTTTATTTAATATAAAGTAAATTTTTGATAAGTTTGGTTTACTGTCTTTAACAATTGAAACAGTTTACATTTTTCAAGACAAATATACCGTTCCAAACATCCTGAGTATAAGCTGATTTTGTTACGTACTGAAAATTTATTCTTAAGTAATCAACTTTTAAATTTATGTTTGAAAAAAAGACATGTTTTGTATTTTTATTCCCAGATGAATCCATATAGAATAACTGGCTTTTCAGAAAGTTTTGAGATTAATTTCTATATTATATTAATAAAATTACTGTGTTGGATATTAAATATCTAAGTTAATAAAAAAATATGTAGTATTTATCTTAAGAATTTTTGGAAGAAAAATTCAAAATGATTAACAAAAATATGTTCTGTTATCTATAATATCCTTAAGTTCTGGCTCCATGTTATATTGTAATATCTCAAACACTATTATAATAAAGAGGTCAATTTGACCTATCAAAATAGCATTTGGAATGTTTTGATATTTTTAACTTCGAAAGGATGATAAGAGAATGTTAGATGTTAAAGTATTAATTCCATTCTTTCTTGTCTTAATATCAATAATTTGTCACTCTCAAACTGTATATTTGAAAATTATTTGAAATGAATAAATATGCAGAATGGCAGGGTTTATTATTTGCAATTTACCCTTTACCCACTTCATTTTTGATTGATACTCTAACTCTTGTGCTTTTGACTGATGTAAATTATGCCATGATTATGCATTTGCTTCTCCATTACTTGTTGTGTAAGATCATTATATCAGATACCAGACAATTCTCTATTTGAGCATTAAGTGAACTGGCCATTGCAACATCCATCATCTCCTTTTTAATCAAACAAAAAGAAAGTAATGATCTAACTATGGTTGATTTAGTTGGCTATACTTGGATAAGGTTGATATCCTTGCTTCAGCAAAAGCATCACATCTAACTTTTCAAACATTAAACTTTTTATCTAATATGCTAAAATTAAAAACAGCATTTGAACATGGTAATAGTTTCTTGCTAATGTAATCTTTAGACCAGTGGTTCTTAACCAGTGTTCCGCAAACCTATCTCAAGTGTTCCATGAAAGAAAAGATTGAAGTTTTTATTGAAATTTATTCCCATTGCTATATTTGTAGATAATTCCATGTTTCTATTTTATTCAATATATTAAAGGTTATACTTCATATTGCTGAGAATAGTAAATATGGAATTACTTATCAATTTTTGAATGTATTGATGCTTATGCTCAGTGTAATAAAAAGTATATGAATGGTGTTTTGCTGCCTTTCTGAGGCAGCAGAACACCACTCAGAAAAGTTGAGAACCACTGCTTTAGACAATTGCAGCAAACAACTGCTGAATTATATCAGGCTATATTACTACTGCTATTATTCATTCAGAAATCCTTTGGCTTTAATATATAACTATCGAGTTTGAATGATTATTTTGTTCAGACATTTGTATATTTAATTTTTATTGTGTTATTTTCGCGTATTTTAGTCTTGTTATTTGTAACCATAAACATGTTTTCTTCTTCATGAATGCTAAAATAANAGATAATTCCATGTTTCTATTTTATTCAATATATTAAAGTTTATTACTTCATATTGCTGAGAATAGTAAATATGGAATTACTTATCAATTTTTGAATGTATTGATGCTTATGCTCAGTGTAATAAAAAGTATCCAAATGGTGTTCTGCTGCCTTTCTGAGGCAGCATAACACCACTCAGAAAAGTTGAGAACCACTGCTTTAGACATTTGCACCAAACAACTGCTGAATTATATCAGGCTATATTACTACTGCTATTATTAATTCAGAAATCCTTTGGCTTTAATATATAACTATCGAGTTTGAATGATTATTTTGTTCAGACATTTGTATATTTAATTTTTATTGTGTTATTTTCGCGTATTTTAGTCTTGTTATTTGTAACCATAAACATGTTTTCTTCTTCATGAATGCCAAAATAAACATTTATATCATTCTTGTTCAATTCAAACAAGTAGGTTTATATGGGGGAAACCAGGAAATCAGATATGTCCCTATGGTAAAAGGTCACATGCTGGTTTAAGTGAGGTTATACATCCCTCTCTAGAGGGTGCATTACAAAAAAACAAACACATTTTTATTGTAAAACTGTGAAACTATCAGTATTACATCAAAAACTACAATTATATGTTTAATTTCTTCATTTTGTCTTCTTTCTAACAACTTAAAATACTTTTGGAATTTCAAAAGTGCTTTTTATGTGTATTTTATTGTTATTTGATTCAAAAACACAAAAAAACAAGCATATTAAATTTAAGAAACTCTCCATAAATTAACTCAGTTTACACAGATTAAACATCCACTTTGTGTGAAATTTAAGAGGAAGGTGTTATTTTTTAAGTCAGCATAGATGGTTAGCGCAGACCACATTAACTACTACTACTGATATTACTACTAATGTCAATAAGTTGTTAATTGTTATATTGTCTTATAAACAAAAACTCTTCCAGATTTTAAGTCAGTCATATTACAATGTTGTTATTTTGTTGTACCCAGAAGAATGCTTTCTTTAACATTTAATTAACTAGTTTTGTTAGATCTGATTAATTTTATATTTTAGTCACAGTTTAACTGGCAAGCCAGTAACCCCAGGGTTTTTGGCATGTTGTTCTCCCATTTTTATGCAGCATGCTGGTCATTCTGCAAAAATACAGTAGCACTTTTGTGATTTTTCTGTTTCTCCATGGCTTCAGTGAACTTGAAATATTGAAATAATTTGTTTTTTTGTACAACAAAATCTCTTCCCAAAAAATTTTAAATTCACAGAATTTGACTTCATAGAAAATATATATACTCTAAAAATAAACAACCTACTTATAAATTAAAAAATATGAATAGAGCATTTAATAAGTTAAAAAAATTTTTCAAAAATTATAATATTAAATTAAAAACTAAACTGAATTTTCTTTATCAAAATATATTTAAATTCTAAATATTTATTAAATATTGTAAAACAAATTTATTAAATACCTTGGATTTTTTCGATTCTGTCACTTTTGGTTTCTTTTTTGGTACATCTTCCTAATATATAAAACACAAATTTTTACAATATAAAAGTAATGTATCAGTAAAAATGTTTAATTTCTTTTTATCAGTTTTAGTTACAGAAAATTCTTGCAATGGAAAATCAAATGTTATAGTATTGAACAACAGTTAAAATTTTAATAAACATAAAAATATAAATTTTTAAAATTAACACAAATATAAATATTACATATTTAAAATTACAGAATCCAATTAACCAAACTTTGCTTAATTGTAATCCAAGATAACTAAATGGTCTGTATTTTCCTTTATCTATAAATATAAATGAAAATGTTTGTTTGTTCACTATGCATGCCTAGGCCATTCAACCAAACATTCATTCGTTCAACACCATTCACTGATACGAAACTCGGCAGTTATGTTCACATACTTCTAACTTAGATAATGTCATATACCCCATCCATAAATATTGATTGAATGGAATGTATTTCTATTTATCAATTAATTTCTCTCTGCATTTGATTTATTATATTATATATATATATATATATTGTATTCACTTAATTATTATGACAATGATATAGTGCAAAATAGATATATAGATATGCTATTCTGAAACAGATAGCAAGTGTGGAGTGGAAAGTGTTACACTGTGAAAAGTCTAAGTATTTAATTTTCCTATCTAACAGCTCAGATTTTACATAAGTCTTTCTGGGATGCATCCTCCTTGGCAGATTGGTTTATTTGGTTATAGCAACGTGACATGCAAGCAAACTAATTCTATTCATTTTTCTATAAACACGATATTTATGAGGACATACCTAACTAGCATAAAACCTGGACACCCAGTCCCCTTCTCTAATTTTATCTCCCTTATTAACTCATGAATCCATTGCCCAAACTTCCCTCACTAATACTGTTTAAAGATGTTCTAATGTTCAACCAAATTTACATACATGCAATGATTTTAAGGCACAAAGTAGAGCTGAACGTCTTTCTGTGTGGCTGATTATTTTTCCTATTTATTATCATGGTGACATTACTTCATTCAAAATTTTCTGTAGTTGTGCACTTTTATTCACATGTTGAGTCTTAATGTCAAATCTGCTTCCATTATGCTTATTCCACAACTTTCAAAAGTTTCTTTTACTTACATGTTTTTGCCAAGCTTTATTTTTTCAACCCAGTTTCATCAGTTTTGTTTACGGCGCATGCGCAAATGATGACGATGATTACACGGGTTTCTGACGATATTCCATTTCAGAATTCTTTCAAAAAAGATCAGCTCAATCGAATGTAAATTTGTTTGCCCGTTTTTTTTCTTCACCTGAAGAAGAACCAAAGGTTTGAAAATGTTAGTGAAAGACATAAAGGTTGAATTAAGCACCGTTTTTGGTTTATGTTGGAAGTAAGTTTTGGAACAATATTTTATATTATAACAAATTAATAAAAAGAAAATTCTTTTAATGACTTGACGGTGCTTGTTTTTTATCGTAAAGCATTTTTACATCAGGATAATTGTTGAAATCTGCAACCTAATGTCATCTTCAGCATCCAATCTGTTTCTGTATTTTGTTTTTGTGGCAGCATACAAAGAGAAAGATTTTTTACATATAGGTCGATATAAATGACATTAAATGTTTTACAGCTCTTTTGGCAATTTCAGGATATTCATTCCTAATGTCAATCCGAAAATGCATAATATCAATTTGATTAAATTTTAGTTT